CCAATATGAAATACACTGCAGCATTTGTGTGCTTCCCACTGTCAGTAACATTGATTTTATATGTATGTGATAGAGTGAATCCTTACTTGTTAGAAGAAAAGAGTCACATAAGTTTAAATACAAAATAATGGTGTTTTCACAATATATTTTACTCTCTCTGTCATCCATACATGCAGCACCCAAGCTGAAATTTACTTGAGGAGTAATTAAGAGTGATTTGTAAGTTGGTGACAGCCCATTAGCAACATTTGGGCTTATATCTCCAATTTGGTTTAATTTTCTGTTCAATGAATAAGCCCTAAGGTGAACCTGAGAAAACAAAGTTATAAAGCTTGAACTGTATATTCAAGATAGGGACTCCCTATTATTTTTTAATTAGGAAAATTATATTTCCATAAAACATCATATGCCTCCTTCCACGTGGAGCAAATTACCTAAAAGAGATGACATACATTTTTTTAGACATTTAGTTTTATATTAGGTGCCTGTTGGTTTGTCCAAAATTTTAATCTATCCCTGCAGAGCTGCTAATCAATATATCATAATATTTAATCAATGTCTAATTAAACTGTTTTAAAACAAAACTCTGTATTCAGTGCTTTGTAAAAAATGCTGTCAGGGGGCATGGAGTTGAGCGGCTGCATGTGAGGAGAGATTCATTGGCATAAGGCCATAAGCAAGCAATCTAGCTACCTAATTGCAAAAAAAACTACACCCAGGTGTATCCACGGACACACCGGTACCATGTCGCCTTCGAAAAAGACCAGGAGCCTTGACATTAAAAACGATTTTAAAAAAGACAGAGCAGTGTCTTCCGCGTCTGAGGCCTCCTTAGAGCACTCGGAACACCACGCAGATGAGATACTGGTGTTTGAGAGGAAATGACGTTAGACAGCAAGCTGAAGTCCCTCCTCCACTCTCCAGATGGATTTTCAATCAGTTACCGAGTAGTTTGTCACAGTTTAGTAGATAGATGCAAAATGCAGTAATTGACAGAGAATGTTTAAAGCGAGGTACAGGTAAGGCTATGGCAGAAGCAAAGTCAGGCAGGCAATAAGTCATGTCAAGCAGTACAGGTTCATAAATGGGATACAAGCCAAAGGTGAGACAACAGATACTCAGGGCAGGTACAATGCAGCAAACACAGCAAGGTTCTGTGCACAGGTATAAGGTATGAGCAAGCTTAAACAGGAGAGAAAGGACACACCTTCTTAGGTGTCCTACTTGCCTCCTTAGGACCTCCCGTAAAAGTAATGCTTCCTTCCCCTTTAAGAGGTCTCCTGTTCGGTAGGTGCGCGTCTAGTTCGGCCATTGCGAACGAGCATTCAGTCCGGCTGAATAACTAGTTGCAGCCTCAGCAGTGTGCACCTCCTTCCAATTCTCAGCTTCATGGTTCCAGAGGCGGCAGAAGCAGGTAAGTGTTAGGCAGGATGAGGGTTTAACAGATTTGCACCGCAACATACAGAAGTTGGGGCCCCCAACAAATGGCCTGGAAGCCCATACGGATGAGCTCGCATCACATCATAAGAAATTGCGGATAAACTCTGTAGCAGAGCGCTAGTCCTGATAAGGACTTTTCCTCCACTGGATCCGTGAAGGCAGGAACCCAGGAACAAGGCACTGGAATGTGAATAGCTCTATCCCTCCCCAGTAACTGGAAGACTCACAGTTCTAGGAGTACAACTGGTTTATCCGAACCGAATTACACATGTCTACTAAATATAAAGGGTTTATCATTCCAATGCTCTAGACAAAATGTAGATGAGGAGGGTCGCTATTGATTTTGATAGGGATTTTAAATGATGCCCAGGTCACTATAGTCAATGTATTTGTCCCCAACACAGGTCAATTAAATTAAAGTTATGACACAAGGGAGACTTTATGTATGTGGAGACTTCAATTGTGCCCTGCAGTCAGCTTTAGATATTAGTTCAGCAAATCCTGCAGGGCCTGCTAAGGGGACTAGTAGTAAGAGTTATACATTTACCCAAATACTTTAGAAATTTCAGTTATATGATACATGGAGATCTAGATACTTTTAATGCAAGACTACTAATTTTTCTCCAATGTTCACCACAGATATGCAAGAATAGACATGTGTCTGGTAAACCAAACTGTACTACCATCACTATTGGATGTTGACATTGTCCTAATCACACAGTCATACCATGCCCCTGTCCTGTCTGAATTCTCTACCTTGCATCCAGTAAGGGAAAGGGATAGTTGAAGGTTAAATTAGGCACTTCTAGATAAGCCTGATGCACAAGAATATATCTGATACCATACTGTGGATTCATCTATCTACACAACATGGTTGGTGCACAAGGCTGTAGTCAGGGGCCAACTGATTAAATTGGGAATGGTAAGTGCAATCTTTAGAATCACAAAATAAAGTGAGTCCTGTCATGACACTCCAATCCTTTCATCTGTTCAGAGAGAACTGGAAAAGCTTCAATTAAATTATACTGCAAAATATCGCTGTAAGCTAAAGTTCACTCACTATTCACTAGCAGGAGAACAGAGCAATAAGTTACTAGAATCAAAATTAAAATGTGAATACGCTTAGACAAAAATTCCATACTTGTTGAAGAAAGATGGTAAAAAAAACAACTAGTCCAATAGAGGTTGTTAATGAAGTTGCTTCCTTCTATGAGGAACTCTATAATCTTAAGAACAACTCACATAATTCACTTCCAACCTGAGGCAATTAACGCCTTCTTGAATGAGGTCAACCCACCTGCAGTTCCTAAGGATCAAATTGAATCCTTGGAGCAACCATTCACTGAGGATGATATCCTCCAGACCTTTAAATTTGTACCAAAACACAAGGAACCCTGCCCTGACGGGTTTTCTATTTATTATTACATTAAGTATGGCAACCTATTAGCCCCACACCTAACTAATTTATTCAATCAAATCCGACTTACCGGGACTGTTCCCCCTGAACTACTGGAAGCAAACATTGTCACTTTTCCCAAGCCAGGCAAACATTAGTGCCAATTTTAGTCTATTGTCGCTAGTAAATGCAGATGTAAAAATATCAGCCAAACTTCTGGCTAACACACTAAAACCGCATCTGACAACCTTGGTGTCAAGTGAACAGGCTGGTTTTGTTCTCTGGAGGCAAGCAAGTGATGACAATAGAAGGTTTATCTTTTTAGTAGAAGTTCTACAATGCAAAAAAGCTCCAGGTGTGTTACTAGCGCTCGATGCTGAAAAAAGCATTTGATAAATTGAAAATACATGACTATAGTCGGTGCTCAATTTACTGCCATGACAGGAGGATTACTTATAGACTGTTTTCTCTGATGAACAGTGATGTAAGATGTTTACCCTTCTTAATCATTAGTCAATTAGTTTGGCTATTCAGAAAACAATTATAAGTAGCTGTCTTTGAGGTAGTGCGTGCCTCATCTATGCCCTTTCCTGGTGTCTTTAACAAAAGTTGGAGATCTGGACAGGAAATTTGAGCTATACTCCTCATCTGGTGTCACTGTCCATGAATTGTTCCATATTTGAAATAAGTTTATGAGACTATCACCTCTATAGTGGGTTGAATATTACTTTGTAATCTCCAGCTATGTTGCTTACTCATGTGTCTATCACTATACCTAAATTTAAGAAGACTCTTACTAAAAATGTCCTTAGAGGAAGCACTATAGGGTCAAGAACACAAACATGTAACACTGAATGTGTTAAAACCTCCATTTAAGATGACGGAAGACAATGACTACAGACACCCCCCTCCCCACCCTAACCCTGACTTGCCCCACCCCCTCTCTTTAAAGACCCACACAGGACAATACCCCAACCAAAGCAGAAATGAATACATATAGAGGAGACACTAGTGCCCTGAATGAGAAACCCATACGGGTTCACACACATCCAATAACCTCCAAGAGACACGGTCCTACTGGAACATGGGCCGAGCAGACGGGATAACCACAATATAACCTGAGGAAAGCAACAAGCTACAATCACACCCCCCCCGAAATATGAGCCATAAATCTCTCAACACGGGTACACTGTACCCCATACACAGGACATCCAGGACACTAAGGGGAGGCTCACATAAGTCTGCTAAAGACACAATATCCAACACAAGCAGGGCCGTCTTTAACGCGGGGCAAACGGGGCAGCTGCCCCGGGCCCAATTACTCCTGGGGGCCGAAGGCAGCTGTCCCGTGGGCCCCGCTGCCCTAAAAAAATAAAATGTTTCCTGGCCGCTTTAGGGGCCCCCCGCACTGTAAGGAGTCCCACCGGGTGGCCCATGCACTTAGGGCCACCCGGTGGGCTTGTACCAGCAGGGGCCCGGTCGGGCGCTGTGGCCCTTTAACAGCGTGACCGGGCCTCTTGCTTTTCGGCACCGCTGGGAGGAAGTGAGTGCCAAGCGTCACTTCCTCCCATAAAGAGCTGCTGCGCGGGAGAAGAAGGACCTGCACGGGAGGGAGGAGGAGGCAGTGAGGATGGGGGCTCCTCACTCACATCATCCTCAGGCAGCACACTGGATCTCAGGGATGCCACCCTCCAGCAAAAGGTAGGAAACTGGAGGGTGGGCTTAAAATGTAAATTTTACATGTATGTCAGTTTGTCTGTGTGTATGTGTGTCAGTATGTCTGATAATGTATGTGTCTGTGTGTGTCAGTATGTCTTTGTCTGTGTGTGTGTGTCAGTATGTCTGACAGTGTGTCTGTGTATGTCAGTATGTCTGATTGTGTATGTGTCTGTGTATGTCAGTATGTCTGTGTGTGTGTCAGTATGTCTGACAGTGTATGTGTCTGTGTATGTCAGTATGTCTGATAGTGTATGTGTCTGTGTATGTCAGTATGTCTGTGTGTGTGTGTGTGTCAGTATGTCTGACAGTGCATGTGTCTGTGTATGTCAGTATGTCTGATAGTGTATGTGTCTGTGTATGTCAGTATGTCTGTGTGTGTGTGTGTGTGTGTGTGCCAGTATGTCTGACAGTGTATGTGTCTGTGTATGTCAGTATGTCTGTGTGTGTCAGTATGTCTGTGTGTGTCTGTGTATGTCAGTATGTCTGATAGTGTATGTGTGTATGTCAGTATGTTTGACAGTGTCTGTATCTGTGTGTGTGTCAGAAGGTCTGTGTGAGTGTATGTCAGTATGTATCTGTGTGTCAGTATGTCTCTGTGTGTGTCAGTATGTCTGGTGTGTGTGTGTGTGTGTGTCAGTATGTCTGACAGTGTGTCTGTGTATGTCTGATAGTGTATGTCAGTATGTTTGACAGTGTCTGTATCTGTGTGTGTGTCAGAAGGTCTGTGTGAGTGTATGTCAGTATGTATCTGTGTGTCAGTATGTCTCTGTGTGTGTCAGTATGTCTGGTGTGTGTGTGTGTCAGTATGTCTGACAGTGTGTCTGTGTATGTCTGATAGTGTATGTCAGTATGTTTGACAGTGTCTGTATCTGTGTGTGTGTCAGAAGGTCTGTGTGAGTGTATGTCAGTATGTCTGACAGTGTATGTCTCTGTGTGTGTCAGTATGTCTGGTGTGTGTGTGTGTGTCAGTATGTCTGGCAGTGTGTCTGTGTATGTCAGTATGTCTGATAGTGTATGTCAGTATGTTTGACAGTGTCTGTATCTGTGTGTGTGTCAGGTCTGTGTGAGTGTATGTCAGTATGTCGGACAGTGTATGTATCTGTGTGTGTCAGTATGTCTGTCAGTGTGTGTGCCTGTTTGTGTGTCAGTATGCCTATTAGTGTGTATGTGTGTGTGTGTGTCAGCATATCTATCAGTGTATGTATCTGTGTGTCAGTATGTCTCTGTGTGTGTCAGTATGTCTTCCAGTGTATGTGTGTGTGTGTGTCAGGCACATACACTGATATACATACTGATACAGGCACACTAATAGACATACTGACACACACAGGCACATACAATGACAAACATACTGACACAACACATAGGCACATACACTGATAGACATACTGACACACACACACATGCACATATACAGACATACTGACACACACACACACACACACTTATACTGATAGCTATCCTGACACACACACACAGGCACATATACAGACATACTGACACACACACAGCCACATACGCTGATAGAGATACTGTGTGTGTGTTAGTATGTCTGTATATGTGCCTGTTTGTGTGTGTGTGTGTCAGTATGTCTATCAGTGTTTGTGCCTGTGTGTGTCAGTATGTTTGTCATCATATGTGCCTGTGAGACCGTTTGTGTCAGTGTGTGTTTCAGTATGTCTATCATTGTATGTATTTATGTGTGTCAGTATGTCTGTTTATCTGTCTGTGTATCTGTATGTGTCTGTGTGTTTATCTGTGTGCGTATCTGTATGTAGTCAGTGTGTGTATCTGCTTGTGTGTCAGCATGTCTACCTGTGTCTGAGCACAAACAATAAATACAAATACACCCTTCCATTCAAACTTCAACATTACATACAAACACACTCCTGCATTGAAAGTCAACACTTCATACAAACACACCTCTGTGTTAAACAACAGAATTATATATAAACAAACCCCTACATTCAAAAACCAGCACTACACTTAAATGTACACTTGCATTCAAACTCTAACACCACATACAAACACATTCACACAAACATACTCAAAAACATGCTTACATTCAAACACACAAACACAGTGCTAAATACAACCCTGCAAGCATGGGAAATTGATAGAGCCCCAGCTGTCAATGCATTGTTGGAGTTGCATGACAGATAGGGTTCTACCTTCTTTCCAACCTTGCAATTGGGGGTCCAAATGAAATTCTTGCACCAGGGCTCTTTCTACTTTAGTTCGCCCACTGCGTTGGGGTGGAGGCGTGATTGCATGCTAGGGAGTGGATCCAGGGGGCCCAAGCAAATGCTTGCCCAGGGCCCAATCAATATTAAAGACGGCCCTGAACACAAGATGTAGGGACCTGAATGTCGCCTAACAATAAAGGTAGGATAAGAGGTCTGCGAACCTCAACACAAATATAACACGAATCCCGGCTGCTGTACATGAAAGATATAAACCTTGATTCAATTAGTAAAACAAATGGCAGATGGTAAAATGTACATGAAGTTACTTGTGAATCTGGAAAATAGGGACTTGCAAGTCCGTCAACATTGTGGGCCTGCGAGCCCAAACATACATTGATGTTTTCTAAAAAGTATGACTATTCACCTTAGAGACCTGCGAGTCTCCGACCTATACGTAAGTAATATAAATATAAATAAAAATTATATTCACAAAAAAACAAAAAAAACCTCCATTTAGCCCCCTGGACCCCTCTTGCCTCCCTAAATATAGTAAACTCTTACTTGTATTCAAGCCTGTAGCTGCTGGCTCTTTCCCTGACTGCTGACATCATCAAAATTGGTGGTCTGAGCCAATCATAATACTTTCCCATAGGATTGGCTGAAACTGTCAAGGAGGCAGATCAGGGGCAGAGCCAGCACAAGTAAAACACAGTCCTGGCCAACCAGCATTAATTGAATCAATGAATTTCTATGAGGAAAGTTCAGTGTCTGCATGCAGAGGGTGGAGACACTGAATGGCAGTGCTGCTTACTCTGCAGCACTGAGATAGGAAGCACTTCTAGCAGCCATCTGAAGATACATTGTTTACAGCAAAAAGCCTGAATGAAATGATTCTACTCACCAGAACAAATGCAATAAGCTGTAGTTGTTTTGGTGACTATAGTGTCCCTTTAATGTGGCCAGGATGTTGCTCCCAGTCTAAAAAACAATAGCTAAAATAGAGGTGATTATGGCGATGGAGGCTATATACTTGACATCCTTGGCTAATTTCATAGAAACATAGAATGTGAAGGCAGATAAGAACCATTCGGCCCATCTAGTCTGCCCGATTTTCTAAATAGAATGGGTCCAAGTACAGATCCCTGAGGTACCCCACTGGTGACAGGCCCCTATACTCCATTGACTACAACCCTCTGTTTCCTGTCACTCAGCCACTGCCTTACCCATTCAACGATATTGGAATCCAAGCTTAAAGATTGCAGTTTATTGATAAGCTTTCTATGTGCAACAGTGTCAAAAGCCTTACTGAAATCTAGGTAAGCAATGTCTACTGCACCACCCTGATCTATTATTTTAGTTACCCAATCAAAAAAATCAATAAGATTATTTTGGCATGATCTCCATGAAGTTAACCCATGTTGTCTCTGAAATCCGTGTGATTTTAGATGTTCAACAATCCTATCCTTTAACATGGTTTCCATTACTTTCCCCACTACTGAAGTAAGGCTTACTGGCCTATAGTTGCCCAACTCCTCCCTACTACTCAATCAAAAAAATCAATAAGATTAGTTTGGCATGATCTCCATGAAGTAAATCCATGTTGTCTCTGAAATCCATGTGATTTTAATGTTCAACAATCCTATCCTTTAACATGGTTTCTATTACTTTCCCCACTACTGAAGTAAGGCTTACTGGTCTACAGTTGACAAACTCCTTCCTACTACCTTTCTTGTGTATAGGCACAACATTCGATAACTTCAGATCTTTTTATACTACTCCTGTTAACAATGATTGGTTAAATAAATCTGTTAATGGTTTTGCTAGTACACCACTAAGCTCTTAATAACTTTGGGTGTATTGCATCAGGTCCCATTGACTTATTTGTCTTTACTTTTGACAGTTGAAATAGAACCTCTTCCTCTGTAAATTCACTTGTTTTTTTTTACTAAATGTAATATTTTCTCTTCTGTGTGTGATTTGGAAGCTCTTATAACTTGCTTAGCCTCTTTCTGCCTAATCTTATAGATCATTCTGTCTTCCTCACTCTGTTTTTTTTTTTATAATTACTAAATGCTAACTTTTAGTTTTTCACTATTTTGGCCACATCTGCGGAGTACCACAGTGGTTTCTTGAATTTTTTGCTTTTACTGACAAGCCTAATGCAATTTTCTGTTGCCTTCAGTAGTGCAACTTTTAAATAATCCCATTTCTATTGGACTCCATTTAAATTGCTCCAGTCTGATAATGACTCCTCTACACATATTCTAATTTTAGAAAAGTCTGTTTTTTAAAGTCTAAAACTTTTGTTTTTGTGTGGTGTGACTCAGTCACTGTTCTTATATTAAATCACACTGACTGATGATCACTGGATCCTAAACTTTCACCTACAGTAATATCTGATACCAAATCTCTATTTGTTAACACTAAATCTAGTATGGCCTCTTTCATGTGTAAAATGGATACAGAATGAGTTCAGGGAAGCTTATGTTCCTTGACTATTGGGCTTGTCATTGCCTAATCCACCTCTAATGCTGTTTGCTACAAATCCTAATGTAGTCATCCATGTTTTCCCCTTTCTCGCCTCTTCTCCTTTTTCCTAATATCTTTCTCATGCTTTCCTCTTCTTTCTGGCTCTGTCTTTCTTTTGTTTACATCCTTTCTTGGGACCTGTTTTTGTACAAGCTACTTTCAATTTTCCCAGGGGATTTCTCTCTCTTCCATTTGCTACCCCAATCAAAACTACTCACTTGATGAGTTAGCTCATGATTGTTCAACTCCACTCACTAAATGGGCTTACAAAGTGAATACTGTATATACACACACATACTTTGATTTACATTCTCATCACGCATCTTGTGTTGATTCTGAAGTCCATTCACATGCATTGCTTATCTGTATTCTCTCTCTTATGCCTTATGTGGCCAATAATTGATTTTGTTTCCTGCTTGAAACTACAATTTGTATGTAAGGATTGTCAAAAAAACAACAATAGTATGGATTCAAAAACCAAAAACGTATGTGTGTTATTGCAATTTGTTTAGGGGACTGGACAACATTCTGCAACATACTGTTGCAGGGATAAGGATTACTTAGTTTAGAACTCACCCTGTTTATTGGTTAGTTTTATTATTATGATAGACTTTGGCTACCTGTCTGGAAAACTGGGAAATTGAAAGATGACATGAAATCACCTAGCAACAAAATGGCAGCAATAGATCAAGGCCTAAAAATTGAATTATGCCAAGCATACACATTTTAAACACAAACCAATTTCAAGTAAGATGTGAGGCAAGCAAATACGCGTTAGGTGTGCCAAATGGTGGTCACGCACTCAGTTTCTGTTTCCATAGTGTCGTACTTTGTGTACAATATGGCCTTGTTCTGATAATGTGGCAAACAAATCGAGTGAAACTTGTTCTCTTTGTGATATGATGCCTTCAGGTGGAGTGAAAGAGAACACGGAAACATCTGCCTTGATCCAAAGATTATAAAACAAAAGAGTTGGCTATCAACAAGAAGAAGAAAAAATATATATATAAAATACATAAAAAATATGATACTTCCCATCCTGCTTTTGAAAATTCACTTTTATAGTCTATTTTATCTTCCTAGAGCAGGAAGAAAGCATTCAAAAAAGAGAATCATAAACATTTATAATTAATCCAAGCAGCAGCTGGAAGAGTGCGAGAAAGAAATATCACCAGCCAGCACGGCAGACCCTTCTTTTGAGCTTCGCTTTCATTCCTCGGGCGCCAGGAACCCTTTGAGGTTTTTGGGAAGTCTTTGAAAACTCTTTGTACCTGCCTGTTTTAATCATTCTGCGGGGCGGTGGTAGGAAATAAGATAGCAGTCATGCAGCATTTGTATGCAGATTAGCA